TTAGTCTTCCAATTTTGAAAACTTTCCAAAAGTTACTATGTAAAATTCACAAGCACACATATAGATGGGTGCTTTTTATTTGAATTCTTTCATATTTTTGTTTCATATTTGTACATTTTGGGAAAAAAGTTTTGTGTTCTTTGGGTTTGAAAAATATTCTTGCTTTGTTTTATAATTTCTTTTTATTTTCTTATTTTTCTTTGGCTGAAACAACTGCTAGTTTGGGATTTGGTTGTTGCTGCTTCTGCACAGCAAAATACACGTTTCAGGTGAGCCTCATTATAAATCAACATCTGTATATACTACAGTAAGTTTACCACTAAAAGTCTAAATCCCTAAATCCATCTTTCAGCAAACAATGCAATCTCCTTTCTTTTTTTTTGTGTGTGTGTATCTTTGTATTTTTCGCAATTAACTTCCAGACTAAACTAAATAACTATGACATCTTGAAATTCTACCATCAATATCATATCAGAGTAGGATTTAAGGGAGGAGAAAAAGGTTACAACAATGACAGTACCCTGCATAATATCTTTATCAATAGCACTGATTGGATTAACTGGGCACTGAGGAGAGTCATAAAGTATTTTGGATGAATAAGGCAGAAGGACAATTATCTCATTCAGGGACATCAGGAAACATTGATTGGGCTCTTACCAGTGCCTTGCTAGGTGTTGCTGATAAATGACAAATAAGAATTTGTCCTTGACAACAAGGCAGAATGCTTAGCATTTATATTATTCTATCATTTTTTTACCATGTTAAAACAACTCCAAACTTTGAAAAAAGTCACTCGTTAGTTTATGATGTAAAAATATTAAGTTTGACTCCTAAATATTTAACATTCACTACCCATCTTTATTAGCCATCAGACTATTAATTACCAGCCAATCACGACTCTGTGTTCTTTCATTTACTTGTGGTTTTGTTCATCCTCATGCACAGATACATACTTGAACTAAGGCTCCATGTGCTATCTGCACCCTACATTCTCATCCTGTTTTTAATGTTTTCCCAGTTGTTATTCATTCACTCATTAGAGCTAGTATGCTCAGTTAACTAGGAAACCGTGGGCAGTAAAATTCTTCATCTTCAAAGAAAAGTTAATTGTTTTCTAGAATACCTCCTTTCCACTGATGCTCTTGTTATACTACATATATTTGATACTGTAGTTGAATTTTGGGATGAGGGAGAGCGAGGGGAGCACCCCTCATCCCAAGGCTCAGATGCAGTGTCTTGTGGCAATCACCACCAGAGAGAACACGGAACAAAAAGGTATGATGGACAAAAGAAATACATAAATATCAGCATAAAGACCTTATTACCAAATTTATAAAAGTATGCATATCCCCTACAAAAATCAGTTGCTTAAAAGTGTTAAAAATATCAACTAACCCACAAAATATTACAAGGTCACTAGCATTGTCAGTTGGATACCCACGATAAAAACATCTCGGGAAATTATTCACAACGGAAAGAAACACCAATAAAAATTGATGAGGAAAACATCACATTAAAAGTATAATGGCAATTAGAACCAGTCTAAGTGTTCAACGTGAATATGATAAAGTATATCTGGCCACAATGTCATTATTTATCTGCAATTCCCCAACCTGTCCAGGTGTCCTATAATTCTACTCAAATCTGATACCATCTACCTGAATATAACATCAAGTCTCATAGGGTAAGGACTCAAATCTCACAAGACTGTCTCCGTCCATTTCACATGTCAGATGAAAGTCCAGGTCATCACCAGCACATCTGTCTGACTGGCTATAAATCGAAGGTTCCCACAACCCCTCCTTGGGTTTGTGAATTTGCTAGTATAGCTCACAGAACTTGGAGAAACTTTACTTTCCTGATCACTGCTTCAATATAAAGAGTATAACTCAGCTACATGAAGATGAAAGAGATGCATAGGGCAAGGTATGGGGAGAAGGTGCAGAGTTTCTAAGACTCTCTGAGGGTGCCATTTTTCCAAAATATGTGTTGATCAACCCAGAAGCTCTCTAACTCCCCCTCCTTTCCTGTGTTTTAGGGAGGCTTCATTACTCAGGCATGGTTGATTTAATCAGTGACCATAGTTAATTGATTTAACCTCCAGTTTTTCTCCTCAGAGGTCAGTGGACTGGAGTTGCACCTCTAGCACCAAAATGTCTTGGCTGGTTCCCCTGACAACCAGCACCCATCTGTAGGTGGCATCCAAAAGTTTCCTTATTCACATAATAAAAGACACCTATGCAGCTGGATTCACTTAGGAAATTTCAAGAGTTTTAGAAGCTATGAGCCAGGATCCACAGAGAAAGACCAAATACACACTTTATTATAAAGTATAATATCATGATTCCCTTTCAGTAGCCTAAGGGGTCAACACTAAAAATGGTGACATAGAGCCATACCTATTAAGTCAAAGTTACCTGCCCCCATTTTCCTTACTAATATTAATATTAGTAGATTATAACCAATCATTCTAAATTCTAATTTTCACTATGAAACGCAGAGGCATTGGGTGCACAGCCCTGGGGGAAGGGAGTGTTGGTGCCCACTTCCAGTTCTACTGTCAAACATTGAGGAAGTTCATTTCATCACCTGAGCCTATTTCCACACTTTAAAATGAGGATGTTTTAAAGATCACTAATGACTGTAAAATTTGAGCTGGTGGATTTTTTTAATGACTGTATCTCTCTATAGTATCTATCCACTCAATATACTTTGTCAAATGCTCTGAGCCACGGGAACAACATCATTTCTGCAGGCCATGCTTTGTCGGAAGGAAGGCTGACCTGGGCTCCTCATGTACTCCCCATGCCCAGAGGTTACACAAGGTCAGTCTTGACAGTCCTGGAGGCAGGATTGCCAGTCATGTGATGCTGCTCATTTGGTGTGTTGGTCCTCACTGCACTTGACTTAAAATAAATGAAGACATTAGTAGTTGGTAGTGGATGCCCTTTCATTTTTTTTTATTCCTAAAAAAGATTTTTAATGACTCTATAAGGTCAAGACAATATTTAGAGTGAAAGTCCATTAGTGATGCTGCTGATCTATGAACCTTACTCAGAGCAAGCCACTGGGGAGCAGGCAGTTCGACTATACAGGTGGAGAAAGGCACTCATGCTCACAGGGGTCCAGGCTAGGCTTGGGAGTGCAAAGAGGAAACCCTTTCATGCTGAGACAAAATCGTAGATTCCAGAACTAGCAGGACACCAGGAGTGGGGACAGCAGTGAGACACAGCCAGTGCCATCATGCCTTCAGGGTAGCACAGGTGAAGCCTAATGAGACTGGTAAAGGGAAGGGTCCCTGCTTCTCAGGCTGGGGATGGAGGCTGAAGGTGGTATTTGGGATGCAACCTGACTTGAGTGGGCAGGGAGAAGGGACTGTGGAAGAGGCAGCCCAGGTTGTAGCCAGGAGGCTGTGGTAGTGATCTGTGCATGAGAGACTGAGGAGCATCTGGGATGGAGAAGGATGGACAGAAGGATGGGGCTGCAATGTCCCACAGAACACTGCACCTCCACTTGGGGGCAAGGCTCAGGGAGTGTGCACGGGGAAGGGGTAGCCATAAGTCAGCCTCTAGAAGGCCCAGGGAACAAAGGAGGCCACTTTATTTTTTTCCTCTCTAATACCCCTCATCTTTGCAGTACAAATGTCCTTTCCTGTCATGGCTGGGGGGGAGGGGTGGGGGGACAGGACACGGTGGTCAGAGATAAGGTCGAGGTTTTCAGATAATGGGCCTTACAATGCTCCCTAACACCCTGTGTTTGATTGTTGCCCTTGTTATTTTGCTCTGAAAAACCATAGAAGAGAGATGACTGAACTAAAAAAAAAAAAGGAGGAAAGTAAAAATAGTCACCAAATAGGAATATGACTTTAATCAAGCTTGATTTTCAAGAGTAACACTGACCTCATACATTTAATCTGGGCGAGTAATAAATGTAGTCTATTTAACCAAGAACCATCAACTTTATGGAAAGAGGAGTTTGAAAGCAAGAACAATGGGCAAACCACGTGAGCGAAGTGTCCACCAGGGAGAGATGCCGACAAGGCTTGGGTATTGTTTCGTGGGACTTGATTACAGTTTCAAAATCCATGTATCTCATTATTAGCACAATGTTCCTTACTTACACCCTAGTAAATATTTTTGCAAGATAATATTTAATGATAAAGGTATTTTGCTCACTAGACTTTTCCCTGTCAACAACTGGAAGCTGACCTCTAACTTGCCTAAAGCTGAACAAACACTGGCCGTGGATATTTGCATCTGGGACTGCTACAGTACCATTCTCTGTAAATCTGGTGTGAAAGAGAATGCCTCTTACCTCATCCCCATAAAAGCATACCAAAAGGAACGTTCCTTCTTATTATTCTTTTCTTTTCCCCCTGCCTTTGTTGAAGTGTTCTTTAGGCTACCAGATAGCTGGTGTTTTTTTTTTTTTTTTTTAGGAAGAGTTGGCATTAGTGAATAGAATGACATTTGTACTAAGTCCCCTCCCACCTGTGTGATGGAGAGAGATTAGAACCATGTCAAACTGCCATGCTATCACAGGGAATTTGAATTTTCAACCTTTCCTTAGCCATCCATTCCTTTCCCTATAACATGTATGGAAGTGATGATATAATATGTGAATATTTCCATGTTGTGCTGAATCATATGAGAACAGCCCCTGCTCAGTGGATAGAGTGTTATGTTGTCACTGCTGTATTAATCTGGAAGTCAGGACTTCTCAGGTGTCACCGTGATTTTGCCACAACTTTGTTGAAGGTGACTTAACCTCTCCCAGGCCTTTCTGGAAAATGAGGAATCTGGGGTGACACTATTCTGACTCTCTCTGAGTTTATGAAACATAACACACGAGAATTACTGGCAATAGTTTTACAAAGACCTTGTTTATGTAGGTTTAGAACATTCCTGTGAGTTCTAAGATGTAATGTTCTGTCCTTATCTGACATCATCGCTACAGAAAAAAAATTCTGAACCAAATAGAATAAGAGAATTAAGAGGAGAGTGAGGGCCGTGCGGCCGGGAGTTGGCAGCCCTCTGTGGTGTGTTCCAGGGCTGAACAGACAGACTGTGCGAGGCTTGTGGCTGATTGTTTACTAAACACGAGAGGCCCCGGTGTGACCTGGGAGTCCTGCTCTAGCTAGACTCACCCGGAGACATCAGATGCCTGGCATTTGCGGTTGGTTTCTTCCTATTTACGGAGACAGGGTGTAGAGGTGGGATGCAAATTTAAATCCATATGCTATGGAGAAATAAGATGTTCCCAAAGTGGCTCGATGACTATTTTTAAAGTCACAGCTAATAATTTACAGTCTGACGCTCCAGGTTGGCCTGGGTCTAAAAATAGTTGTTCCTGTGCTTTCGGACAGGGTCAGGGAACGAGGCTGAGAACAGCAGGGGAGTCGCAAGGAGAAAAACCTGAAGCACCAGGAAACGCACAGCAAAATCAAATACAACCACCCCAAATTTGATTTTAAAAAGATGGATTTGACAGTTGATTCCCCATTAATTAAATTTGTAAAGATATTTTGAGGATAGAAATAAAATGATAGTCCACTTGACATGTCCTTTGGACTCAAGATTGAGTCTAAAATTGTGTTACATCACCTCTTCTGCAGAGGTTTAGCGACATCAGAGGAACAATTACAGCAAATGGCCCACTTAGGACTGACAGCTGAGCCCGCAGCCTGTCCAGAAGCACCTCTATGGGGTCAGGGCTCCCCAAAGAAGGGAGATCAGCTCAGCCATGGTCAGTCTTGAAATTATGGCTTTTTCCAAGGTTTGGCACTTTGTACCAATCAATGGATACTGAAGGAAACAAAAAGCTGCCCTTTTTTCACCCAAAGCAAATCTCATAGATTATTTTGCCCCTGTCTAAGGACTGAAAACCGTTCTCTGTCCAAGTATTATTTTTTTGATAGCTGATATTTATTTAACAAAGGAACCAACATTTCTTTATGTGTTTGTACTTGAAATTTTAAGCAATTTAATTTTGATTTACATGTATGTGGAAGACTTCCTACGATTACTTTAAATACTGGGAGGGGTCAATTAGGGAAATTAAAGCCAAACATTTGCTATTCTGTTTGACTTCCTTGTAACCATTTTCTCCTTACATTATTGTCCTTCACTGTCCATCTGTCCGTCTGTCCATCTATCTATCTATCTATCTATCTATCTATCTATCTATCTATCTATCTATCTATCATCTATTTATCTTGACACGGAGGAAAGGGGAGTTGTAAGTTTCATGTTGATTACTTTTTTCACATTCAAATTAATATATTAAAAATTCTCAGCTATGGGCCTCCCTGGTGGCGCAAGTGGTTAAACACTGCACTATGAAGCTATCCGCAACCTCTGCAGCATGAGTTTGATCCCCGGCCGGCCAGGGAGAAACCCACATGGTGCAGCAGACCTCTCCTGGCTCGCCTGCTGCTCCCCTCAGCAGTTACTTCAGTCAATCTGCCTGTTCTGTTCCCCGCTGTGTTTCTGGTGAATCCTCTAACCCCCACCCCCCTGCATCTCTGGCCTGTACCTCAGCTCTTGTATGCATAAATAAATAAATCTTTAAAAAAATAAAAAAATAAAAATAAAATTCTCAGCTAAAGGGAATGGAACAGTTATTCTAAATACACAGTGAATGTTTAATGCTTTTGGCAAGATATTGAAAGGGGCAGGAGAGAGAACATAGTTTTATTGACACAGCTACACTAAATCTTCACTCCCAAATGTAAGAGAGAATGCTTTCTATATTTCTATGGTTTCCCTGCTTAAAACTTAGTTGAAGCTGAAGATAAATGTAGAAATCACATTTGAGCATAAAAAGTGGTTTCTGATAAGGAAAGCACATTCTTCACTCATTCACACTCACAGTGGACCACCTACCCACAGCTCAGCAGTATGACAGAGGCCTCCTGTTGAATCGCATCTGGAACCCTTGCACCAGCCAGGAGGAGGAACCACCTCTCAAGGGTGAGTCACAGGCATTAGGGGCCCATTTTGCCTAGTTGGTAGAAGTCTAATTCCTGAATTTTTCAGTTTCTGAGATCAGTTAAAACAGTCTTGCTACAGAGTTTTTAAATGGGAAATTCATGGATTGAATGCTGTTCTAAGCAATTCAGTTTATTTCCATTCAAATGGGGAATAAATGAGGAAACAAATTACACCTGTGTTTTCAAACTATCATGGAGCAAAAAAATACGATGCTGTGTTGTTTAATGTTAAAAAAATCCTGAAAGAGTTTAACATTGAATTTAAATAAGGTGTCTTACTTATTAGATTTGTTCTAAAGCTATGGATATCATATTTTGCTGTGTAAATTATTGTGTTGATGACTAAGGAAAGTAAGTACTGTGCATTGTAAAATATTTAAAATAATCTTGAATGGTATAACTTGCAAAGGTAATCAATGCTCATGGTAGACAAAGACTACTCATAGTTTCTATTCTTCTGTACAAGTTTTCCATTGTGAGCTATACTCATGGCATCATTTCTAATTTTTATTAATTGACAATAAATTTGGTACAAAATCATAGGAGAAAATTAGGACTAGTTCAAAATATATCTCTCCTATTAAATTTACTCATAGTCTTTTCCATAAAATGAAATATTTTTGATTATAAGAAACTATATTGTTAAAAGTAGGACCTTTCCTCACCTCACTTGAAAATAACTCAGAAAATCTTCCTTCAGATTAGTCCTCATTTTAAAAGAATTAAAAATATGCCTTGTGTCTTTAATTCAATCTCATCTTTTTACCCTTTATATGATAAGAGCTCCATTCTAAATAGCCTTATTCTGATAAACAATCCCCACCCCCCAAAAATATTTAAAAACGCCTAGGCACAGTTTAGATATCAGAAATTTAAATCAGCCAAGAATTCATCTATTTGGTCTCAGACACGCTTTCAATTGGAAGGAGACAGAACTGTGTGCTGTCAGCCTGTACTCTAAGGCAGGAACTGAGCACAAAATCCCTGTTCTGCAGACCTGCCTTATTTGGAAGCAAAGGCTGGAAGTGAGGAGTAATTGTAGCAAGAGGAAACAGGTGCTAAGAGAAATTCCTACTCACCCTCCAGGGCCTCAGAACCAATGGGAGGGATTCTGCTTCCCGCTAGGTTTCAGGATGGTCAGCACCTCACTTGCCATCCTGCCCGCTGTCCAGGGATCTGTGAGCAGGGGCAGCTACCCCCAGGCACAATGGCATGTGTGGTATTTAAATGTGCCAGCACACACTTTCAGACTATGCTTATGTCTTCCATTCACTAGGTCTCATTACCACGTGTTTTATATAATGAAAACCATTTAAAGATGGAGAAAACTATACCATTTAAAGCCAATTGCTTATGAGGATTTTCTTTCAGATATTCCCAAGGAGAAAGCCTCCTGACATAGCCCAGAATGATTGGCAGGCCAACCATAATACTCTGATTTTTCTTTTTTCCAAAGAGAAGAAGTAAAAACAATCTTATCAGAGAACTTTGAAGACAGAATAAAAGGTTATGCAATACTATCAGACCGTGGAAGACAGACCACTGATGGGCAGAGTCCTGAGAATCAGGGGAGCTGCCAGGAGGACAAGGAATCTCCTGCATTGTGTCCGGCAGAGGAATGAAAGCTTGCTCAGACCTGAAAAAGTTGCTCAGGCCAAACAGAAGTGAGGAGTGAAGAGATAGAGGCAGTCTGGGCTCCTCCAGAGCAGCTAGCAACTGTTGGAATATTTGTCAACACATTTTCAGACTAAGAAGTGGGCCTCAGGAATAAGATTGTCCCAAACACAGTGATTCTCAAAAGGGGATGATTTTAACCTTCCTCACTGGCCCCACCAGGGGACACTGGGCAATGTCTGGAGACATGTGGTTTATACAGTGGGGGTTGTGGGGCAGGATGCTGCTGTCCATCCTGCAGCCCAGGACTCCTCACCACAGAGAATTATCTGGGCCCAAGTGTGAAGAAGGTCAAGGTTAAGAAAAAGCATGGTCTAAACTACTTGGTCTGACATCTTGAATGTATATATAAATTATTTATAAATTCTGTCATATGTAAAAATGTTTATAAAATACTTATCATATGTGTGTATGTACATCTGTATGTAAATATACATAAATGTATACCTGGATACATATATAATCTTGGGGTTTTAGTAAATCCTGTTTATCGTATGAACTCACTGCTCTGGAGTTAAGGCAGGTCTTGTAAAGCAATATTTTTCTTGAGTAAGTTAAAGCTGTTTTCCTTAGTGAGAAGGAAGAAAATTGTGAATTTTCAGGAAGGACTGTAGCAATGCGGTCGGCAGGCCTAGCTACATGTGAGCTCCAACACCTCTCCAGGTCTCCCTTTGCTTACCCATAAAACATGACCAAAAAATCACATGAACTTCATCATTCCCAAGAGTACTGAACAATATAAAACATTTATCTGAATAATAATAGATATAATAAACTGTGTGCATAATTAACCCTACATAAATATTTGCTATTTTGGTGCATGTGGTATCGTTGTACCTGAATTATTAGAGGGAAAGAAATACATATTAACTTGAAGTGACTCATAAAAATGATGTGTTAACATGGGAAATTTGGGGTCCTTTAAAATAAATAAATGAAATTTAAAAAATTCTCAGTAAGGGTTGTTTTTCTATTCCTCATCACATGGCAAAGTAAGTAAAGGAAGTATCTCTTGCTAGAATTCGGGCTGGAGGAGACTGGAGGGATAGTGAAAATTGACCTTTCACCTAAGTAAGAAACTACTTCATGTCATATCACACACTGAGATCTTCAGAAAGGACAGACAGCCTGTGAGCCAGCTAAAGAACCACTAACTCGCATCCACCGTGAAGTACTTGCTCTCACTCACTCTCGCCGTGAAGTAAATGTTCCTGTGCTCTTCCGGGGCAGGGAATCAACCTACAGGGGACTTCTTTTCTCACCCGTTCTCCTAGTAGAGTTTAAGATTTAAAAATGGCATTTCAGGGCCTCCCTGGTGGCGCAAGGGGTTAAGCACAGCACTATGAAGCTATCAGCAGCCTCTGCAACACGAGTTCGATCCCTGGCCAGCCAGGGAAATCCCCAGCCGGCCAGCAGACCTCTCCTGTCTCGACCACTGCTCCCCTCAGCAGTGTATTTCAGTCAGTCTGCCTGCTCTGCTCCCTCTTCTGTCTATATTGAATCCTCCCCCACACACACCTCTGGCCTGTACCCCAGATCTTGTATGTGTAAATAAATAAATCTTTAAAAAGAAATGGCATTTCAGACTTCTTGGACGTGATTTATGCAAAAATGTTCCAGGAATAAAACAAATGGTCCTGGCCAGCTGAGTCACTGGTGGTATCTCACTGCTACAGACAACAGTGAGCACAAAAGGCCAGTGGAGTCACAACCCCGCAGTCGCCTCTGTCTGGGATGGGCCTGCTGTGACTGACTCAGCTCACATTTGCCCAACAAGCATGTGTGAGCTTATGGGCACCGGCTGCCAGGTGATTCAAGTGTTGCAACTGGAGGCTGTAATCATCTGAATTTTCACATGGGGGTGGAGGGGACCAAAGTCTGATACATGGAAAAGGGGCAGCGTTACCACCAGAGATGTAGGTAATGAGATCTTAATAAAGATAAGTGAGAGCACTCGTCTTTATTTGTTGTGGTGGAAATATTTGGGGAGATAGTTTTATTTTGCCAGCAACCCGCTGAAGATGCTCCTACCAAGCAGCCTGAGGATGAGGCACTAATTGAACAAAATTGACACAGCGATTTCCTCCTCCCACCCACATGGTCTCCTGACTGAGCTGAAGTCCCAGATCAAATAACACACTAAACTTCTCAGAACTGTGGAAGGCTCTTGGAATGCCCAGCCAACAAGGTCCTGTGTGACTGGATAATCTCTAAGTCCACTTTTGAGATGGACAGACAGACAAAACAGATGGATATGCTGACCTAGTCTGTCATCCCAGGACCCTCCCCCATGACTCTGTTAACATTTCGGGGGTCTGGAACCAAGGATGTCTAGCTCCCAGATACATTTCTTTCAGTAGCAGCAGTCCTTCAGACACCTGAAATTTCGTTTCTGAAATGCCAGTGCTGTCTTTGGAACAGAGGTATGTGTGGGAAGAAAATCTCTCAATTACTCAAAAGTCGATATTGAAGGAGAACCTGACCCCAAGTTTTTATAAGGAACATCTTGTATAGGTTTTCCACTGACATAGCTGAACAGGGATCTGGAGAGAAACCCCTAGCAAAGAATAAACATCGAATTAGCCAAGAAAGACGCACAAACTGAAACCAGGAACATCATCCATTCTCTGCGCTGCCACAGGCCATACTGTTTTATTGCCAGAGTACTCTGGCCACCTGAAAGATACCTAAAATTTACCTCTGTCCTCTGTCAGAGCCCCTGCAGCTATGCATTTCAATGCCCCCCCTCCCATTCCAGACCAAAGTGGGATGTGACCTTTTTATGAAGGGGAAGTCCCAGAGTGAGTGACTAGAGTGTTTTTTTTTTTTTCCTATAAAAGAAATTTCCCCTAAAAAGAATAGAATTCTCTAATATCTTGCATGAATAAAAGAATGCCCACTTACTAAAAGCATCTCTATACATGTACCTTACTATGCATGTGTCAATAAACTCTCCCAATAGTCCTAGAAGGAGAGCTTCTCTCTCCCCTACACCTCCCCTCCCCAATCTCCAGGCAGGTCTGGGTCTGACAGACCAGACTGGTTCCAAGCCCACCCTCACATGTTCCCCATCACAGCACAGCTGTTCCAAGCAGCAACCATATTCAAGAAATATGGAGTTGAGCAGGCACTTTAAACTGACACCCCAGGAGGATGGTAAAAGAGAACCCAGCTGCCTCATTGTTGCTGTGACTGCCTTTATTGAAGCTATCTGTTTTCGTTATTTCAATCAATTCTGTTATTACATGTATTCTCTGGAAATTTAAGCAAATGGAATGATGTAGAAAATCTGATAAGTTAAAGGAGATGAAGAACAGAGGAGGGTGAGCTTTCTAGGAAAAGGAACAACGGTAACAATGTCAGGACTCTTGGGGTCCTTGGCTCCTTCTTCCTCCCTGGCTGGTGCTGTGGAGGTACTTGAGCACCTGGAACTAGGGCTCACCTTGCTGGTATCTCCTAGACATTCGCCGCCTTCTCGTAGTTTCCTGTCTTACCACGGTGGCTCTCTCTCGGCTGTCTCCATGCTGCCTCAAAGTTACCTAGGCCTTACAGACCTGCCCACCAGCGTAAACTCAGATTTCTTCCCCAGTGAACTGAGAATTCCATGTGTGTTTTTAAGACAAGGTACATGCACTCTGACTTAGCGATTGGGTTGAGATAATCTTCCCAAGGCCTTTCTTCAGGCCTTGGAGGAGTGGATACCTAAAGTTTAGAGGATACCTAATAGTGATCTGACCCCAGGGGCACCTGCTTGATGACTGGGGACAACTCTATGAAAAGTGCTATGTACTGAATGTATGTCCTCCTCAAGTTCATGCATTAAATCCAAGTCCCCAAGTTGAGAGTGTTAGGAGATGGGCCTTTGGGAAGTGATTAGCTCTTGAGGCCAGAGCCCTCATGATAGGATTAAAGGAGGAAAAAACAGGCCCCAGAGTCCCCTCAGCCATGCCCCCATGTGAGGACATAGCAAGAAGACCTGTCCGTGAACAAACCAGTGGGTTCTCATCAGACACCAAATCTGCCTACACATTTTCCTTGGACTTTCAGGCTCAGAACAAAGTGAAATAAAGATCTGTTCTTTATAAGTCTCCCCAGTTCATGGCTTCTTGTTCTAGTAGTCCCAATAGACTGAGGATTCCACGTGTGTGTTTTTTCTTTTTTTATTAATTTTTTAAATTTTACATCATCATTCATTTTCAAACAATATTTGCTTTCCCCCACCCCCTCAGGTGTAGTCCCCATAGAGTTTCCTTCACCAAGGCACCCGTGCACCATCACCTCAGTCCCCTGGTGCGCTTCCCTCCCTCCCTCTGATCCCTCTCCCTCCTACTTCTCTGCAGGATGTCTCTGATTTATAATTGTCTGTTTTTGCTTTGTTGTGTTTTGTACTGTTATTATTTTTTTACACTGATGTCTTATTTGGTTCCCCTATATTCCTGCTGTAAGTGAAACCATCCGATATTTTTCTTTTTCCTTCTAGCTTATTTCACTGAGCATAATTCCATCACAATAACATCTTTAAAGACTCATCTCCCAAAGCAAAGATAGTCAAGGAAAAGATAAACACCTGGGATTACATCAAACTGAATAGCTTCTGTTCAGCCAAAGAGACATTAACCAAAACAGAGAGACATCCCACTGATTGGGAAAAAATCTTTGCACTCCATTTGATGGATAAGGGACTGATCACAAAGATATATAAAGAACTCACATGACTCAACAAAAACAAAATAAACAATCCAGTCAAGAAATAGGCAGAAGAACTTAAAAGACATTTTTCCAAAGAAGAAATACAAATGGCCAACAGGCATATGAAAAAATTTTCAACATCCCTTATAATCAGGGAAATGCAAATCAAAACCACACTGAGATACCACCTTACACCAGTAAGAATGGCACATATCAAAAAACAAGCAACAACAAATGTTGGCGAGGATGTGGTGAAAAAGGAACTCTCCTACATTGCTGGTGGGAGTGCAAACTGGTCCAACCACTACGGAAAGCTTTCTGGAGCTTCCTCAATCCACTAAAAATGGAGCTACCATATGATCTGGCAATTCCACTCCTAGGGATCTACCCAAAGGACACAAAAACATTAATTCAAAAGACCACCTGTACCCCTATGTTTAGTGCAGCACTGTTTAATAGGTAAAATCTGGAAACAACCCAAATGCCCAATAATAGATGACTGGATCAAGAAGATGTGGTATACAGACATGATGGAATATTATCTAGCAATCAAAAAGGTAAAATCATGCCATTCGCAGCAACATGGATGGGGCTAGAAGGAATTATGCTCAGTGAAATAATCCATGTGTGTGTTTAAGACAATATATATATATGCTCTGACTGAGCAGTTGGGTTGAGATAACTGTCTTGTTTGCCACTCACAGCTTCCATTTTGCAAAGAAAGGACAGCAATAGTGACTCTGATTCTTCTAGTTTTTCATCATTAGCAGAAACAGTGTCTCAGGAAGCACTGGAGTGACCATCCTGGGTGTGTCTTCTCAGAGCCTGGGAAGAAGAACAGGCCACAAGCCCTGTTCGTCCCAAAACATTGCCTCCTGAGCCTGCCACCTACCAAGGACCATGCAGTTGGTTAAAAAACTCGTGCCTTCTGGAGTCCATGGTTCATTTTATCTCAATTGATTTTCATTCAGGAGGTAGGTACAATTATCACCAGATGAAAATGCCTCACCCAAAGTGAATGACAAGGTGGCAGTGGAACTGGAACCCAGTCCAGGCCGCTCTAACACCCAGTTCTAACCCTGGAAACCACAAAGATTTGAGCTCCTCTCCAGCAGGGACCTCAGTTCAATCCCCAACCTATGCTCTGCAAAGTGTTCTCTTATTGTGTAAACACAAATCTTAAAGCCCACCTCAAAAAATGCTGGTGTTTTTAAGTGAAATTAGTGCCTGCCA